AAATAAGGACAGGCAAAATGGGTGCAGGTGAGTGGGAGACACAGGCTTCCAATTATGGAATGAATAAGTCACAGGAATAAAAGGCATACCATAAGGAATATAGTCATTGATATTATAATTGCATAGTGACAGATGGTAGCTAAACTTGAGGTGAGCACAGCATATTCCATAAACTTGTGGAATCACTATGTTGAAATGTAACATTGTGTGTCAACTACATGCAAATAAAACAATCTTTTAATAAATAAATAAATTTATTATTTAAAAGTACATGCAAACATATGGCTACTTTGTTGTCTTCTAGTATAGCCATGCTTGAACATTTTACAAAGTAGAATGTGTATTACTTTACTATAAAGTTATTTTAATTTTGTCTTACTATTACCTTGTTATTTTCAAAGATGTATGTACCTAGGTGATATTAAGTTATGAAATTCATCTCAAGATAGTTAAAGGGGACTTTAAAATATCTGTTATAAAAGATGGTATTGGGTCTGATAAGGTTGAGAAACGAAAAAAAAAAAAGGTTGAGAAATGAGATCATTGTAGTAACAGTAAGAGGGTTTATTTCCTCTTATTAGGAAACTTTGATTTGGATAAAATATATCAGAAAAAGAAATACATTATTTTTTTTTGAGAAATCCCAAATGGTTACTACTAGTATAACAAATCACTACTGACTTTTGCATATAATTTTTGCATCCACAATTATTTTATTATTTCTATAGTTTGTTGATGTTCCTGAATTTTTTATGTAGACAACTACATTTTCTTTCTTGTTTTCAATTCTTCTATCTCATTTCTTTTACTTGTTTTATTGCATTTGCTGGAACATTCAGTACAATGTTGAATAGAAATCATGATACCAGTCTTCCTTGTCTTCTTCCTAATTTGAATGAGAATGCTTGTACAGTCTAAATTACCATGTCGGCAATAGTTTTGTTTTTTGTAATTAACTTTTATGAAGTTAAAGAAATTTCCTTATATTAGACCTTTGGTAAAAGTTTTAAAATTAATAAATACTATATTTTGTCAAAATCAAATTTGCTAAAAATGATCATGTGACTTTATTCCTATAATCTCTTAATGTGGTGAATTATATTGCTACCATTTCAGATCCACATTTCTTACATTTCTGTGATGACCCTTATTTGGTCATGACTTAGCTTGCTTGTTTTAAGTGCATGAGTTATTCAATTTTCTAGTATCTTCCTTAGTAATTTTGTAGCTATGTTCTTTTTTTAAAGATTTTATTAATTTATTTGAGAGAGAGAGAGATCACATGAGTAGGGGTGAGGGAAGGGCAGATGGAGAGGGAGAAGCAGACTCCCCGCTGAGCAGGGAGCCTGACCCGGGGCTCAATCCCGGGACCTCAAGATCACAACCTGAGCCAAAGGCAAACACTTAACTGACTGAGCCACCCGGGCACCCCTGTAACTAGGTTCTTAAATAAAATTATTCTACATTGTTTTTTGTCTTGTTCCTGTTTGGTTTTGATATTGAGATTATCCTAAAATTATAAAAGAACTGGGTTGCTTTCCCTGCTTTTCTATTCTCTGAAACAGTTTGTAGAAGATAAGAATTATTTGTTCCTTGAATATTTGTTAAAATTCATCTGTAAAACAATCTTCAGTTTTCCAGCATCTAGGGAGGAGGAGGAAGAGACATTAACTATTGCTGGTTTCTTCAGGCTTTCCATTTCTCTTTGAATCATATTTGATGACACTTTTTCTAGAAAAATCATCCATTTCTATCCCAAATTTACTGGGATGAAATGTTTGTAAAATTTGTATAATTTAAAAAATAAAACATACTATAGCTATAATTTTATCCATTTTTTCATTCCTAACATTGTTTCTGTCTTTTCTCTTTTTCTTCATCAGTTCTTGTTAGAGGTTGGTCTTTTTTTTTTTTTTAAAGATTTTATTTATTTATTTGAGAGAGAGAAAATGCACAAGAGTGAGCGAGCACCAGTGGGAGTGGGGGGAAGGTCAGAGGGAGAAGCAGACTCCCCACTGAGCAGGGAGCCCCACCCGGAGCTCGATCCCAGCATCCTGAGATCATGACCTGAAGGCAGACACTTAACCAACTGAGCTACCCAGGTGCCCCAAATGGTCTTTTTATTTCTTTTCAATAAATTGCTTTTAGTTTTGTTTATTCTCTAATATTTCTTTGTTACCTATAGTTTTGATTCTAACCTATATTTCTTTCTCTGCTTTAAGCTTAAAATTATATTGTTTTTTCCTCAAGATGAATCTTTCACTCATTTGTTTTCAATTTTTTTTTAAAATAAAGAAGATTTTGAGTCTATAAATTTCCCTGTATCATTTTGGCTGCATCCTCAAATTACTGAGATATATTATTTTTGATATTGCTTAATTGTAAATATTTTATAATTTCCTTAGAGTTTCCTTTTAACATGTAGTTATTAGGCATGTGCTTTGAAGTTTCCAAGCATGCATTTTAAAATAATTTTTGTTGTGGGCGCCTGGGTGGCTCAGATGGTTAAGCGTCTGCCTTTGGCTCAGGTCATGATCTCAGGGTCCTGGGATCAAGTCCCGCATCGGGCTCCCTTGCTCCTTGGGAGCCTGCTTCTCCCTCTGCCTCTCTCTCTCTCTCTGTCTCTCATGAATAAATAAATAAAATCTTAAAAAAAAAAAGATTAAAAAAATAATTTTTGTTGTTTATGTTTTCATTGTATTATAGTCCATAATATGATCAATAAAATGTGAATTGAAATAATGTTATTTCCTTTGTCTCAGTAGGAAGTAATTTCTAAAATGTTTTATATATGCCTTAAAAGAATGTCCGCTTCACATTTTGAACTGTAGAATTCTTATTTACTATTAGAATAGGCATGTTAATTATCTTGTTCAAGGATTTTATACCCTTACTAAATTTTGTCCGCTTGATTACAGATGCATTAAATCTTCCATTATGACAGAGACTTGTCAATATCTCCTTCATCTATCAATTTTTATTTTATATGTATATATACACTCACATATACATACAACTACATATTTTAATATATATGCACATAAATGGTGAAGATACATTATTATGGGCATACAAATTTGTAATTCTTTATCCTCCTGGTCAATTGAAACTTTTGTCATTATTTGGCCATTCAAGAAATCAGACGCTCCAATTTTACCTCTTGATGTAGGAAGCACTAACAACATTAATAACTGGAAGTTCAAAAGACCTTTCCTAGTCCCTATTTAATTCATAGTTTCACTTTCTCTGCCACCCAGACTTGGCTCCTTCCTTCTTTAGTTCTGTTATTTGGCTAGAGCTGGAGTCAATCCTTCCTAGCTGCTTTCTTTATTATTATTAATTAACACAGTGAGATTAGCTTTAAGTAAACAGAAAGTCCCATTCTCCCCCTGAGAGTATCAACCTGTAGGCTTTCATTACAAAGTATTTATTGAGCATCTACTATGTATCAGGTACTGTGTTAGATGCTACTATATTCAATAAGCAAAAAATAAACATAATTGGTGTCCTCCTGGAGCTTATGTTTAGAAGAAAGCAAATCACACAAAAGATATAATTTTATAATTATGACATTTTATATAAATGAGATATTGCTCTGAAGTTCTACAAAAAGGGGATTTGACCTTGTCATGAAGGTGTCCTTGATAAAGTATGCCTTGAATTGTAATCTAAAGGAGAAAAAACTAACTACATTCTGAAAGGAAGGAAGTGTTTCTGTGGGTGAAAGTATTTGAGTACAGTGGCAAAAATTAGGTAAATGTTGCTAGAACACAAGGAGCAAGACCATTATAGCAAGATGTTTTGTGTCTATCATAAAAGAAATTACAAATGACCCTTGAATAATGTGGGGGGGATTAGGGGAGCTGACCCTCTACGGTGAAAAATTTGCATATAACTTTTGACCCCACAAATACTTAACTACTAATAACCTACTGTTGACCAGAGGCCTTACTGATAGTAGAAACAGTCGATTAACACATAATTTCTATGTTACATGTATTACATATACATATTCTTAATAACATTAAGAAAATCAAAAGGAAAAGAAAATACATTGATAGTACCAAAAAAAAAGTCTATTAAAAAAAAATCCACGTATAAGTGGACCTGCACAGTTCAAACCTATGTTGCTTAAGGGTCAACTGTACTAGCTATTGAAAAGTTTAAAGCAGGAGGGGTGACAAGTTATATTTTAATTATGAAAAGATCAAAATGGCTGCAATGTACATAATGAAGCAAAAATGGGTTTGACTAGGTAAGGGGTGAACCAGTTAGAAAGTCACTGCAGGGTTAAAAGCAAGAAGTAACAGCAAGTGGAATTAGAGTGATAGTAGTGGAGATGCAGAGAAGTAGATGAATTTGAGAAATATTAAGGAGGTAAAATAAACAGGACTTGATGAAGGACTGACTACACTATAAAAAGGGAGAGGAAGTAAATCCTTGCATACAATTAGGCTTCTGGATTGTATCATTAGATGAATCCTGCCTTTCACTAAGAGGAAACACTGTGAGCCAATGATTATAAGTTGGTTTTAGACAAAGTGAATTTGGGATGCCCCTACTAAAAGATGGTGTTGGACCTACTTGTTTCCAGAGCTCATAGGTCTGGGTCAGAGATGCAAATTTACAAGTTATCTATACATAAGTACTAATTACAACAGAAATATGGAGGAGATTACCTAGGGAAAGAAAGTGGAGTAAAAAGAAAAAAGGACCTAGAATTAAGGCTTGAGAACTCCAGCTCTAATGACTAAGTAGAAGATTCTAAACTGTCAAAGGAGAAAGAGAAATGTATCTAGAGAGACAGGAGAAAAACCAGTAAGACATTATGTCACAAAGTCAAAAGAAAAGGAATGATTCAACAAAAAGGTAATGGTTAATCATAGTATCAAATGAATAAAATAAGAGTTTTTTCTCTTTATCCAAATTTTAGATCATAATCACTATGGCTCCACTGTGAATTCTTACTTTTCCAATTACTCATGTTTATATATACTTACTTAAAGTATTCATCAGAAGGCTACTGTTGTCATGAGATCTATTCTGGCCAGCATCCATATCAGGAATCCTGCAATGTGGCATGGCAGACATGGCAGGATGTCCTGAGATATAATTCCCTGGATCAGAAGGAGAGGATCTGCACTCTTCATCGTCTGAGTCACTGGAACTATCCTCACTACTTGAAGATGATGAACTTTTGGAATCCGATGAACTATCACAACTACTCATCTGGTCCATTAGACTAGCTTCTGCCTTCAGTTCTAAAAATAAAACAGAAAAATAACAGATAGGTTAAATAAATAATAGTAAATATAGGGGCGCCTGGGTGGCTCAGTTGGTTAAGCGACTGCCTTCGGCTCAGGTCATGATCCTGGAGTCCCGGGATCGAGTCCTGCATCGGGCTCCCTGCTCGGCAGGGAGTCTGCTTCTCCCTCTGACCCTCCTCCCTCTCATGCTCTCTGTCTCTCATTCTCTCTCTCTCAAATAAATAAATTAAAAAAAAAAAAAGAGAAATAATAGTAAATATAAATATTAAATAAATAAAATAAAATTTGAATGTGTTAGCTTCTAAGAAACTGTTGATGAGGAATAAATGAGATTAATCATGCATTTAGAGCATTTTAAGCATTTTATTTAAAAAGCTCCTCTACCATTAAAAGACATAGGCAATGCCTAATCTAAATGCTACATTTATTATACCATTATACTTAAATATGTATGTAATTCAAATAAAATAAAGAATGTGAAAAATTAAAACTGTAAAAATTAAAATCTATTTTGGCAGAAACCATTCTCCAATTCCTCTTACTCTCCCAATACATATAAGGCAACACAGTACATACAGATGACTTTCTTTTTTTTTCCCCAGCTTTTCTGACCTATAATTGACAAAACTGTATATATTTATTTTACATTTTTTAAATTTTATTATGTTAATCACCATACAGTACATCATTACTTTTTGATGTAGTGTTCCATGATTCATTGTTGGCGTATAACACCCAGTGCTCCATTCAGTACGTGCCCTCTTTAATACCCATCACAGGCTAACCCATCCCCCTCCCCCCTTCCCTCTAGATGTATATATTTAAAGTGTACAACAGGCTCCCAGCCCCAGTGTAAGAAGCAGCTTGGCCTGCGAAAACACTTCCCCTTGAACCAAGAATCTGGACATTCAGTGTGAGCAGTTAGGTGATGCTGGGTGGAGAGAGCTCCCACCTCTGATCCAGCAGTTCGAGGTGGTCAGGCTGGATGACAGGGGCCTCACAGAGCTGTGCTGCAAGGATGTCAGCTGTGCTCTCTGGGCCAACCCCTCCCTGACTGAGCTTAGCCTTTGCACCAAAGAGCCGGGTGATGCCGGTATGCACCTGGTGCTCCAGGGCCTGTAGAGCCCCACCTGCAAGATAGAGAAGCTCAGCCTCCAGAACTGCTGCCTGATGGAGGCTGGCTGTGGGGACCTGCCCTGTGTGCTGCACTTGGTGCCTATCCTTCAGTGACAGTTTGCTGGCAGATGCAGGCCTGCAGCTGTTCTGCAAAGATCTGCTGGACTCCCACTGCCACCTTGAGACACTTCAGCTAGAGTGCTACAACCTGATAGCTGCCAGTCGTGAGCCCCTAGCTGTGGTGTTCAAAGGCCAAGCAGCACTCCAAGGAGCTCATGGTGAGCAACGATGACATCTGCGAGTCTGGCGTCTGAGTGCTGTACCAGGGCCTGGTGGACTCTGCCTGCCAGCTGAAGACGCTCAAGCTGGAAAACTGTGGCCTTGCGTTGGCCAGTGGTAAGGACCTGTGTGGTATTGTGACCTCCAAGGCCTCACTGCAGGCACTGGACCTGGATGGCAAGCTGGGTTACATGGGTATTGCCGCGCTGTGCCCCAGAATGTTACACCCCAGCTCCTGACTCAGGGCTCTGTGGCTCTGGGACTGTGACATCACCACCAGGGGCTGCAGAGATCTGTGCCACATCCTTAGGGCCAAGGAGAGCCTGAAGAGTGGAGCTTAGTGGGCAATGTGCTGGGGGACAAGGGTGCCTGGCTGCATGTGAGAGCCTGCAGGAAACTGGCTGCCAGCTGCAGTACCCATGGGTAAAGTCCTGCAGCTTACGGCTATCTGCTGCCACCACTTCGGCACAACCTTGCCCCAAAACAGTATCTCGTGGATACTGCAGATGAGCAACAACAAGCTGGGGGATTCTGGAGTCCAGGAACTCTGCCAGGGTCTGGACCAGCCTGGCACCACACTGTGAGTGCCCTAGATGGGGGAATGCGACATGATGGACAGTGGCTATGGCAGCCTGGCCTTGCTCCTGCTGGCCAGCCACAGCCTGCACAAGCAGCACTTCAGGCAAGAACTACATGCTCTGGAATAGCACGACATCTACTGGATGAAGCAGACCGGATCGCCTGCAGGTCTGCGAAGGGCACAAGCTGAGCCTGAGGTTCATCTCCTGAGTAGCCTCCAGCCCCAGCTTCTGAAACCTACTCTCCTAACAGGCCCTACCTGGGACCCCGCAGGGGACTGGCTGTTCCTAGGGGCTCTCACTCTGGTGTCCTAGCTTTGACTGAAGGGAAACACTCAAATCAACTGATTTCTGTGAGAAAATTTTAGACAGTTCATAATTATTAAAGCACTTTTTTTTGGCAAGAGGAAAAAAAACCCAAAATATACAACTTAATGCTTTGAAATACATTGTGAAACGATTATCATAATCAAGTTAATTAACATATTTATCCCTTGTGTGTGTGTGTGTGTGTGTGTGTGATGGGAACACATAAGATCTGCTCTCTTAGAAAATTTAGATACCATACTACTGGCACAAAAATAGACACGTAGATCAATAGAACAGAATAGAAAACCCAGAAATGAACCCACAACTTTGACAAGACAGGAAAGAATATCCAGTGAGAAAAAGACAGTCTCTTCAACAAATAGTGTTGGGGAAACTGGACAGCAACCTGCAAAGAATGAAACTGGACCACTTTCTTACACCATACACAAAAATAAGTATTAAATGGATTAAAGACCTAATGTGAGACATGAAAGCATTAAAATCTGAGAGGAGAACACAGGCAGTAACTTCTTTGACATAGGCCATAGCAACTTCTTACTAGATATGTCTCCTGAGGCAAGGGAAACAAAAGCAAAAATTAGGACTTCATCAAAAATGATGGACTCTGAAAAACAAACTGAGGGTTCTAGAGGGGAGGGGGGTGGGAGGATGGGTTAGCCTGGTGGTGGGTATTGAGGAGGGCACATTCTGCATGGAGCACTGGGTGTTATGCACAAACAATGAATCATGGAACACTTCATCTAAAACTAATGATGTAATGTATGGGGATTAACATAAGAATAAAAAAAAAAGCTTCTGCACAGTGAAGAAAGCAACAAAACTAAAAGGCAACCTTCAGAATGGGAGAAGATATTTGCAAATGACATATCTGATAAAGGGTTAGTATCCAAAATATATAAAGAACTTATCAAACTTGACACCCCCAAAAAATAAATAATCCTATTAAATAATGGGCAGAAGACATGAATAAACATTTTTCCAAAGAAGATAGACAGATGGCTAACAGACACATGTTATGGAAATAGCCCAAATGTCCATGGACTGATGAATGGATAAAGAAGATGTGATAAATATATATATTTATGGAATATGGACTATTACTCAGCCATAAAAAAGAATGAAATATTGTCATTTGCAACAACATGGATGGAACTACAGAGAATTATGCTAAGTGAAATAAGTCAGTCAGAGAAAGACAAATACCATATGATTTCACTCATGTGGAATTTAAGAAACAAAACAAATTAACATGGGAAAAAAAGAGAGGCAAACCAAGAAACATACTCTTAACTGTACAGAACAAACTAAGGGTTGCTGGATGGGAGATGGGAGGTGGGATGAGGTAAATAGATGATGGGGATTAAGGAATGCACATGTTGTGATGACTACCAGGTGTTGTATGTGAGTGTTGAATCACTAAATTGTACATCTGAAACTAATATTCCACTGTAACTGAAATTTAAATAAAAACTTTAAAAAATTTAGATACCATAGTGTATATTAGATCCCCAGAACTTATTCATCTTATAACTCAAAGTTATAAACCACCCTCCTACACGGTTTCTAGGAGTTTAACTTTTTTAGATTGCTTCCACATATAAGTGAGATCATACAATATTTATCTTTCTCTGTGTAGCTTATTTCACTTATTTCTCTTTCTGATAGTTTGTTAGTATATAGAAATGCAACTGGTTTTTGTATATTGATTTTGTATCCTGCAACTTTACCAAATTCATTCATTAGTTCTAACAGTTTTTTGGTGGAGTCTTTAGGGTTTTTTAGGCATAAGCTCATGTCATCTGTAGAAACAAATTTATTTCCTCTTTCCAATTTAGATCCATTTCTTTCTTTTTCTTGCCTAATTGCTCTGGCTAGATTTTTAGTACTATGCAGAATAGAAGTAAAGAGAATGTCTTGTCTTATTCCTGATCTTAGAAAAAAACTTTCAGCTTTTCACTGTTGAGTATGATAGCTGTGGGCTTATCATATATGGCATTTATTATGTAGATCTATATTTCTCCTATATCTAATTCATTGAGAGTTTTTAATGTGAAAGTGTTGAATTCTGTCAAATGCTTTATCTGCATCTACTGAGATGATCATATGATTTTCATCCTTCATTCTGCTAACATGATATATCACATCTATTGGTTTGCATATGTTGAAATATCCTTGCATTCCCAGCATAAATCCCATTTGATGATGGTATATAATCCGTTTAATGTACTGTTGAATTTAGTTTGCTATATTTTGTTGAGGACTTTTGCATCTATGTTCATCTGGGATATTGGTAATTTTTTGTGTCCTTCTCTGGCTTTTATATCAGAATAATACTGGCTTTGTAAAATTAATTTGAAAGTGTTCCCTCCTCTTCAATTTGTTGGAATAGTTTGAGAAGAACTGGCATTAATTCTTCTTTAAACATTTGGGAGAATTCACCAGTGAAGCTATCTATATGGTCCTGGGCTTTTCTTTGCTAGAAGATTTTTGATTACTGATTCAATCTCCTTACTTATTATTGGCCTGTTCAGATTTTCTCTTTCCTCATGATTCAGATGATTCAGTCTTGGTAGGTTGTCTCTTTCTAGGAATTTATGCATTTCTTTTAGGTTATACAATTTGTTGGCATATAATTTTTCAGTCTCTTATGATTGTATTTCTGTAGTATCAGTTATAATGATTCTTTCATTTCTCTCTTTTTTCTTCATTAGTCTAGTTAAAATTTGGTCTACTTAATCTTTTTAAAAAACCAACTCAGTTTCATTCATCTTTTCTATTGTTTTTCTGGTCTATTTCTCTTATTTCTATTCTGAATAATCTTTATTATTTCCTTCCTTCTGCTGACTTTGGGCTTAGCATGTTCCTCTTTTTCTAGTTCCTTGAAGTTATGAAGTTAGGTTATTTGAGATCTTTCTTTTTTCTTAATGTAGGCATTTATTCCTATGAACTTCCTTCTTGATCAGCTTTTGCTGCATCCTATTATTTTGGTATATTGCCCTTCCTTTTCATTTATTTCAAGATTTTTAAAATTTCCTTTCTGATTTCTTCTTTGACCCATTGGTTGTTCAGGTGCATGAAATCCACAAATTTGTGGATTTCCCCATTTTCCTCCCATTGTTGATAGTAGTTTCACACCACTGTGGTTGGAAAAGATACTTAATATGATTTCAATCTCCTTAAACTTGTTAAGACTTGCTTTGTGACCTAACGTATGATGTATCATGGAGAATGTTCAGCTTATGCTTGAGAGGAACATGTATTCTGCTGCTATCGGATAGCATGTTTTATACAAATTTGTTAGGTCTATTTGGCCTAAAGTCTAGTTCAAATCCAATATTTTCTTATTGATTTTCTGTCTTGATGATTTATCTATTGTTGAAAGTGGGGTACTGAAGTCCTCTATTTTTGCATTGCTATCTCTATTTCTCCCCAGATCTTTAAATATGTAATATATTAGGGTGCTCCAATATTGGATGTATATACATTTACAACTGTTAAATCTGCCTGGTGAAATGATCCCTTTATCATTATCTAATGACCTTCTTTGTCTCTTGTGACAGTTTTTGACTTAGTCTGTTTTGTCTGATATAATAAGTATAGCTACTTCTGCTCTCTTTTGGTTTTCATTTGAATGGAGTATCTTTTTCTATCCCTCCACTTTCGCCTACACGTGTCCTTAGAGCCAAAATGAGTCTCTTGTAGGCAGCACCTAGTTGATCTTGTTTTATCCATTCAGCCACACTATGTCTTTTGATTGGAGAATTTAATTCCTTTCCATTTAAAGTAATCATTGATAGGTAAAGACTTACTATTGCTACCTTGTTAATTGTTTCTGGTTGTTTTGTAGATTGTACCTTTTGCTGTCTTCATTTGTGATGTAATTAATTTTCATAGTGGTATGCTTTGACTTCTTTCCTCTTTCTTTTGGGGGTCTATTAGAGGTTTTTGCTTTGTGGTTACAATGAGGCTATTTAAAATCTCTTAGAGTTCTAACAGTCTATTTTAAGCTAACAATAACTTCTACCAAATAGAAAAATTTCATCCTTTTATTCCCCTTCCTACAGTGTTTTTGATGTCACAATTTACATCTTTTAAAATTATGTATCCATTAACAAATTATTATTGCTATTGTTATTTTTAATACTCTTGTCTTTTACATTTTATACTAGAGTTAAGTAATTTACACACTACTCTTACATTATTATTCTAAATTTGATTATGTACTTAAGTTTCCCAGTGAGTTTTATACTTTCATTTGTTTTTATGTTATTAATTAGCATCCATTCATTTCAGCTTGAAGAACTCCCTTTAACATTACTTGTAAGGCACATCTGGTGTCAATGAACTCCCTCAGCTTTGGTTAATCTGGGAAAGTCTTTGTATCTCCTTCATTTCTGAAGGACAGCTTTGCCAGTTAAAGTATTCTTGGTTGGCAGTTTTTTGTTGTTGTTGATTTTAGCATTTTGACAATATTATCCCACTCTCTTGGCCTGCAAGGTTTCTGCTGAGAAATCCACTGATAGCCACATGGGGGTTCCTTTATATGTGAGGAGTTTCTTTTGCTGTTTTCAAAATTCTTTCTTTGTCCTTAATTTTTGGCAGTTTTATTATAATTAGTCTTGGTGAAGACTTAACAAAAATTGTTTAATGAAGTATAGTTGACACATGATGTTAGTTTCAGGTATACAACATAGTTATTAAACAACTCTATAAGCTATGCTATGTTTACCATAAGTATAGCTGCCATTTGCCAC